AGGGCCCCCCCCTTTCTACCTGTAACACTGGCATCCCTGTTCCTTCCCAGCCTCAGCGGGGAGGGCAGGGCCTGCTGCACTGAGTCAGCTCTCGGGGCCTGGGAATTTCTAGTGCGGCACAGAGAGAGCCATTGTCCCTCCGTAGCCTCCTCTTCATGGTCGCTGTGGGAGAGCAGAGCTGGTTCTCCTCCCGTGGTGGCATGGAGGGGGCCGGCAGGGAAACAGCAGGCACAATCACGCTGAACGGAGCTGGCTGGCTTTCGGCCTCTGTCAAGTTGAAGGGGGATGTGGCACATGAGTGTAGCAACCAGCCCTGCCGTTTATGTCTGACTTCTGCAAAACCGAGTGATGTCACATTTCTGCACCCTCTTACCAGCGAGAGGGCTGCTGCCATTGACCAGGGTTACTTAATATGGGAAAACCCAGGAACATATGGGCAGCTTCAGGCCCAGGTGCCTGCACCAAGCCCTGTTCTTGCATCCTGCAGCGCCTGTATGGCCTGTAATGATGCCCCTTGCAGCAGGAGATATGACAGGGGTGGAGGTGTCAAACTGCCTTTTCCGTGGTGGGGGAAGTTGGGGGGAATAGGAAGCAGGCACAGAAACTCACCCCTAGCTGTTTGCACTTCTCCCTGGGCTGGGAATTTTTGGGTCCTTTAAATCACAGAAAGGATATTTCAGGGTAAAACACAGCCTTGGCATAGGTCAGGTTGTTGGACTGCAGGGGCCTGGCCACAGCAACTGAGGGTAAGAAAAGCCCCTGAGGCCTTTCCCAAGGGGACAAGAGGTTGGTGGGGAGGGCTTGTTCATGAAATGGCAGGGGACTTTCTTACCGTCAAAGCTCTGAGTTTGTAAGTCTCTGAGTTTCATGTGAGGGCTACCAGAAGTCACAGCTGTATTATATTTGGGCCAGGTGCACCCCGAAACAGTGCCTAAATTCCTCTGACTCGCTTGCTTTGGGAGAAGAATGGATTATCGTCTCTGGCCCTTTCAGTGACAGGAGCTCAGAGCTTCTTCTGGTGTGTGTTTATGTAGCCAGCCCCATGGCACCCTCACCTAGCCCTCCAGGCCATCGAGAGGGTTTCTCTACTGGGGAAACTGGAGCAGGGATGGAGCGTGGACCAAGGAAACCTCCTACCCTGATGCAGGAAGCTGCAGCTTGCTGTGCAAGGGGAGAATGCAGGTGGCCTTGGGTGTAGGAAATCCTTGCCTGCTTGCTTATTCTGTTGCGTACCTGGTGCTCTGGTTCTTTGCATGGCCCCTGAATATTGCAGGTTTGCCTCTGTGAGGGAGGGGACAGTGGAGGAAGGAACTTCTTCAGGGAGTATTAAAGCTGTTTTATAGCTGGATAGGTCATCAGCTAGGGCTATAGCTGAAGAATATCAGCTGTACCTTCTCAGGTAGTCCTGGTAAAATCCCAAGCAGCCAGCTGGTAGGAACGTTCCTTCCCAGCGTTGCTCTTTGGCTGTGTCTTGCCAAGCAGGTGAGCCCTGGTAATTTCCTCTGAGCCATGGGAAATGCCTTGGCATGCTCCCTTCCCGAGCTGCCTGGGGAGGTGGGGGAGGCTGGCAGTCTGAGTACCCTCCGGCTCTCCTCACCTGGTGCAGCCAGAGGGGGAAGCTCTGAACAGTTTGCTCTGAGAGGAAGGCTGCTCTGGCCACAGGCTTGAAACAGAAGCTGCTAGGTAGGAGTCACTTTTTCCATTCAGTGACCTTTTTCCACCCAGGAGCTATGTTAATGTTTAACCTACAAAGGTGACGTGCAAGGTGGTCCTTACATTTGGACTAAGAGTGTTGTCAAAACCAGATGTTTACAACCATGTTCAAACATTCTCTCCGATCCCGGAAATCCAAGTTTCTAAGTCCACGTGTTCTTAAGCTAGAGCAAAGACCCGTGACAGAAGCAACCATAAATGCCTGGTTGCTACCTCAACTCCGGATGTGCACTTCAACTCCAGAGGGCTTTTCCTACTCCACATGCTGCCATCATCACTGTTGTCACTGCGGTGGGATCTGCGTGCTGCCTGCTGGTGGGGAGCGGGCCGGGTGGTGGGTGGCACAGGCACGTGGACCAGAGTTGGCTGTGTACCAGTAGCCCACCACCTGCCTCTTCCTCTCTCTGCAGATTTTTGCCTTCCCCTCGTGCTGTCTTCCCTCCCTACAATGGCTACTGGTGAAGAGATCCCCCCTGCCCTGCAGGACTCATGGGGAGACTTCTGGCTCTTCCGTTTCTTTGTTAATGCTGCTGGCTATGCGAGTATTGTGGTGCCGGGATTCCTCCTCATCCAGTACTTCAAGAGAAGGAATTACCTCGAGACAGGTAAGGGCAGGAACTTCCTGTCCACATCCTGCCTCCCTGTGAGCTCTCTGCAACCCCTTGATCAACCCGTTTCAGCGCTGCCAGGTTGTTTCCCCAACTTGCTTTGTCAGACCAGGCTTGAGCCACTTGCAGAGCTGCATCCCAGAGCTGTGTAGGTGCTACCCTGAAACAAATTCCTCTGAGCCTCTGTACCAGCAGATGTGGAGGCTAGTAAGGAGGGAGGCTTCACCTCTCAAGCTGGTGCGACTTGTGGTGCCCAGGCTGCGGTTAATTCTGTCCTGTGTTCTCTTACACCGTTCAGGCCGAGGCATTTGCTTCCCTGTCATCAAATCATGCGTGTTCGGCTCTGAGGTGAAGTCTGTACACCAGGAGGATGGCTCCCTGCCACCCCGAGTGGAGCCCACAGAGTCTTCTACAGCCCGACAGGTCTTCAAGCTGCTCTTCTGCGCTGCTGGTCTACAGGTAGGGGCCCTGTGTGTGTGTGTGTGGCCATCCCACCCTGGGAGGAGGAGGTGGGCAGCAGGTTTATGGCCATCAGTTCTTTGAAGACCAAGGATGCAGACCAACCCTGTCCTTAATCAGGGCAGGGCTGGAAGGCTGGGACACAGCCTCTCAACCAGGGTAATCCACCAGAGCTGCTGTGTCACCTCTAAGTTCTGTGGAGGTCTGTTTAGCTAGTGTCATCTGGGTTGGGGCCTCCTGTCTGTCTGATCACAGCCCTCTACAGCCATGGATAGGGAAAATTCTGCAATTCAGCAGATTGTTAGGGCTGCTGTTTTCCCAGCCCTCATGTCAGAGCAGCAGATAGTTTGAGCCCTTTTTATCTCCCAGGCTCTCCTCTGGATCACCTTCTGGGACTGATGTGTCCTGCCTTGATGGATTGGATTTGAATACTGGAGAGAAATACTGAATTCAGCTACAGATAAACAGGAATTTTTAATTTTTGTATCCCTAAGTCTCGGGTACAGCCTGAACATCATTAGGAAGGGCAGCTTTTTGGGTCTGTGAGGACTAAAAAATAGAAATGTGGGCAGTGTGATAGAAAAACCCATGCATCTTGCAGCCAGCAGAAGACACCCACTCTCTGGCCTGTTATCCCAGCCTGTTCAGACTTGCCGTGGGTCAGCAGCAAGTCCTTCCATCTCTCTGTGCCTCAGTTTCTTGGGATCGGATGTGTGGTGAGAGGAAGTCTGTTATCTGGGAGGGGCTTGGTACTATTGTACTAGAATTAGTGGAGGGTGACAGCCAGAGCAGTGATCATCCCTGGAGGACAATTTTGTCTGCTGGGTTTGAAACTAGAATTGATTTGGATAGAAAAACTGGGCCTAGGGAGCTGAAAGTGAAAACCAATGCAGAAGCCACTGGGAAAACTGCCAGGACCTGCCACAGGGAGTTGGCACCAAAACTGCAGCTGTGCATCCGTAAGGTTCCCTGCTCCTGTCAGTCTGGTTCAACAAGGCAGCTTAAAGCCTAACTGCTCGCTGTACACCAGGATGTTTGCTTTGTGGGCTTCTCTCCCCTCGAAGAGGCTGTAAACTGAGCAGGTTCTGTTTGGGATGGGATGTTCCTGTTTGTAACCAAGAAGAGTGGGTCACCTCAGACAGGTGGAGTTGGGGGTGGCTCCATCTCCCAGCACTTCAGGGAAGCATTGCCATGCAGAGGAGGAGGCAATGCTGGGGTGAGCAAGGATCTCCTGGGGCCTGTTCTTGCTGTGGTTGCTTGCAGCTGCCGTTGCAGGTCCTGACTCTCCCTGTGCTCCTCCTGCTTCGCAGGCCTCCTACCTCACGTGGGGCGTCCTCCAGGAGCGTGTGATGACGAGAACATACGGTGCCACTGAAACAGACCCTGGTGAGAAGTTCAAGGACTCCCAGTTCCTAGTCTTCATGAACCGCATCCTGGCCTTCACGGTGGCTGGTCTGTACTGCGCCCTGACCAAGCAGCCACGCCACGGGGCTCCTATGTACAAATACTCCTTTGCCTCCCTTTCCAACATCCTCAGCAGCTGGTGCCAGTATGAGGCACTCAAATACATCAGCTTCCCCACCCAAGTGCTGGCCAAGGCCTCCAAAGTGATCCCAGTGATGATGATGGGCAAACTGGTGTCACGCAAGAGTTATGAGTACTGGGAGTACCTGACTGCTGCCCTCATCTCCATGGGGGTCAGCATGTTCCTGCTCTCCAGTGCTCCCAACAGGCACGTATCCACTGTCACCACTTTCTCAGGAATAGTCCTCCTGGCCGGCTACATAATCTTCGACAGCTTCACCTCCAACTGGCAGGACGCCCTCTTCACCTACAAGATGTCTCCCGTGCAGATGATGTTTGGCGTCAATGTCTTTTCCTGCCTTTTCACGGTGGGCTCGCTCTTGGAGCAGGGCGCCTTGCTGGAGTCGGTACGCTTCATGGCCCGCCACTCGGAGTTCACGGCCCACGCTGTGCTGCTCTCAGTGTGCTCTGCCTGTGGCCAGCTCTTCATCTTCTACACCATCAACCAGTTTGGGGCAGCCGTCTTCACCATCATCATGACGCTCCGCCAGGCCTTTGCCATCCTCCTCTCCTGCCTCATCTATGGGCACACTGTCACTGTTGTGGGTGGGCTGGGCATAGCCGTTGTCTTCATGGCCCTCTTCCTCCGTGTCTATGCCCGCAGCCGCATGAAGAAGCGCAGCAAGAAAATCCCACCAGGCGAGACCCCTGTACAAAAGGTCTAAGGAGCTGGGGCCATGGCATTTAAGCTGTGCCTGCTGTCCCACTTACACTTGAGGGTACTTGCTTGATTTCTCAGAACCTGCTGAGGAGCAGGGTGGGTTATGGATGGGCTGGACCAGGGACTCACTTTTTCACCTGCTTTTCCTGGGGAAGGGGCTGGAAGAAGCCCAGGGAATGCTCTGGGCTGCCACAGCTCCAACCCTTTCGATTTGCCTTAATGGGTCAAAGACTTCCAGCCAAGGCATGGACTGGGGGGCTCGCATCCTGGGGCTGCTGGTACTCCTACCCCACCTCTGTCTGGTGGCTTCTCTCCAAAGTCACCGATAAACAAGGGTGCTCTTTTCCCTGGCACAGTCTTTCCTGGAACGCTCCTCCACTTCTGTCACTACTACAGAGCTCAGCAGGAGGAAAGGGCAAGCAAAACACTAGCTTCCTTTTTGCAACACCTCCATGTGAGGCAGGTCCCAAGCTGAGCCTTTCCCAAGGAGGGGGAAGCTTTCAGCCCCCCTCCCAGGAGAAGCTCCAGGTAGGACAGGCATAGCTAAGGGAAGGACTCCCAACCTGTCCTACACCAGGCCTGGGATCTGCACTGGGAGGGCACTCTGTATCAGTTCCTTGCCCCTGCTCCATTGCCCTTGGCCCAGGCTGATTTTTATGCAGAGACTGAGGCTGGCCGGTATGGTTCCCAAGGCTTGCCGAGTTGTTCTAGGTTGCTTTTTGGTTATATCTGCTGCTGTCAGAGGCCAGAGGCTGTGCTGCCAAGAAGCCCCAGCAGCGCCTTGGGGTATCTCAGTGGCATGGTTTCTGGGCTTTGTAGTTGCCCTTCAGTGAAGCACAAATAGCCCCTCTTCCTCCTGCCGACTGGAGGCACAGGCCCTAGCTTTCCTGGGGCCTGGCCAGAGCCCCACTGTGCCTGGAGGGCTGAGAGGTGGGGCAGAGCCTGCCTGCTGTGCCTTGTTCCTGCTCCACAGGCAGCAGGGGATGGAGCGAGTGGGCACCTGCTCCCCAGGCAGCAGGGGACAGAGCAGTAAAAGCTGCTCTTCCCCAAGAGCCTGGGTTTTACTGGTTAATCCTTTTCTCTTCAACATAACCTGACAAGCCAGCAGGTTTTGGTACTTTTAAAAGGCAACTTTTCTCTCTTTTTATTTTATTAAATTAAAAACATGCTGCATATAGTGCCCTGGAGGTAAATGTTCTTTTTAACTGCCCACCCTACCCCCACCCCCCTTCCTGTGTCCCTAGTCTCTCTAGGACAGCAAAGCTGTCTTTCCTTTCCAAACACAAGTGCCTTTGCCCAGGGAGGTATCAGTCAGCGTTGGACCCAAAGCTGCAAGGCCTGACACAAGATCCTTGTACACATGACTAGGAACATAGCCAGGCTGGACCACTGCTTATACTGGTGGGCAGGTGGAGGAGCTGTTAGCCCAATTCTGGTTTGGCTCCTGGGTTCCCTGCCTGGTGCAGCTTGGACAGCCCCAGTGGGTTTATCTGCAGCCTGCATAGCTAGAAAGAGATGGCACAGAGGCCTTGCTGAGCACCTGCCAGCCAGGGCCACCAGTGCTGCAGCAAGGCCCTGGAGGAGCCCATCCTTTATGGGGTGCATCTGCACCAGCTCCACAGGCCCCTGCAGAGCCAGGGGAGGCTTGGGGTGCAGATGGTACATCTAACCGGTACCTATTGGGAGGCCTGGTGAAAACCCTTGTCCATAGGCCTATGCAATCTAGTCCTGGAGAGTCTGGGGTCAGAGACAAGACCTTGGCCTAACAGAGCTAGAGAAAGAGGAGACTCAGGTGAGGGCTGCAAGAGAAACAGAGGACAGTAGGGCCAGGAGCTGCTTATCACAGTGCTGAGTTAGTTGAGCCAGCAGGGGTAAGAGGAGCTGGTGCCGAGCACAGCCCAGGCTTCAGACCACTTCGCTCTCCACCAGTTTTACCTGTGCTGTGCTGCCAAGAAGCCCCCAGCATGGTTTCTGGGCTTTGTAGTTGCCCTTCAGAGAAGCACAAATAGCCCCTCTTCCTCTTGCCAACTGGAGGCACAGGCCTCCTAGCTTTCCTAGCTCTGAGCTCTTGAAAGTGCCTGTGTGGCCTCACAGCCCTTCATCCTGACCCTACAAATTTTCTCAAATGCCTGCCCCTACCTTCTGCTGACAGACTGAAAACGGATTTTTTTTTTCCTTTGGTCAAAAAAATTAGGTTGTCTGCCAGGTCAGGAATGGTATTCTTTTTCTAATTTAAACGTAGATTTAAAGAAAAAATTAGTGAAAAAAACTAAACCCAAAACATTCTAAGTTAAAGAATTGACTTTACTGATTCATTATTTGGCAAAACCTTCCTCTCCAGAGAGAAATCTTATTTTAAACAATGGTTTTCTCCCGTCTCAGAGAAAAACACAACCCCAAAGGCATTTGCTAGCTCAGCTCCAGGACTGCCCTAGCAGCCTGCACCCAAAAAGGAGCCACACTTGCAGCACAGTGCCTTGGTGTGCAGCAAGGGACTCCAGCAGGCTCTGCCTCCTCCTCCCTCCCCGTTGAAAATGGACAATGGCTAAAGCCCACTCCATTTTGTGCCTGTGGTTGCTGGCAAGCAGCCAGCAAGAGAAGCTGATGTTGGTGTCACTTTCCCCTGACAAACCCCAGGGGCCATTGTGGCAGATGGTGACAAACTCCACTCATGGGGTGTGAGCAAGGGGCAGATGAATCAGAGGTGATGCCCCAGGCCTCTCCACTGAGGGAAAGCCAGGGGGTGGCAAGATGCTGCCAACCCCACCAGGGCTGCAGAAGCCAAGAAGGGGCAGGCTGGAGGTGGGAGGAAAGGTGCAGTCTAGAGCACAAAGCAGGAATAGTTTGGCTTAAGAGCTGAAGAGAGGCAGCTCAAGTACAGCCCTGAGCTTTCACTCCACCCCCTGGCACTGCAAAGGAGCAGGAGGATGGTTCCTGCCACAGCTCTGGCCCACAGGGACTCCCAGACCAGACCAGCTGGCAGCAGTGCATGCCCAGGTCCTGGCACAGCTTGCCCAGCTGGCACATGCAGATGGAAAAGGTTTGTTCCCAGGCTATGGAGCAAGCAGCACTCTGGGTGGAGAACTGCTCCCAGCTGGAGATCACCCCAGCTGCACACAGCAGGTCACGTATTTCTCTCACCACTGCATGGTAGCTGGGCAAGGAAGAGGTAGAGATCAGCTAAAGCAGAGCTCTGAAAACAAGTCAGGACAGGGGAAAAAACAGCTGCCTGATACCCTCAGGCACAGGCTGAGACCCCTTCCTCCATACAGTAGGCATGAAACACAAGGGACCCCTCTGTGTAAACCACATTCTTTGACACTTTAATTCCAGTAGAACAAAACAACAGAAAAATAATCAAACAGAAATAACCAAGCCAACCAAAATACAATATCCTACCCTGGGGGTTCAGGGAGGCAGCAGCTCAGAGGAAGGGCTCTCCCACTCTGACAGAACAAGGGTGACATTTGATGCCTACTGGGAACGTGGGAGACCCCATGTCAGGGGAGAGAGGGGAAGCCTGGTGCTTCCTCACCTCCACTCCCCAACAGCTGTTCCTACACAAGCAGAAAGACACAGACAGACAGGCCTCAGGCTGCCCAAATCACTCATTACTGACAAACAAGGAATCACCCTCCTGCCCACTGCAAAAACAACTCCAACCCAACAAATCTCCAAAAAATGGACACCACCAAGGAGTCAGTAGCAGCTGGTGGGAGCAGACCCCCTCCTAAGCAGACATGATGTGGGGCAGAGGCTTCCTCCTACTTTAGTCTACCTCTTCCATGCGGGACGCATCTTCATCTCCCTCCAGAGGGAGGATTTCATTAGGGACAGCTGCACTGGGCTCCTCTGCAGTCACCTCATCTTCATCAATGCCTTGGAGAGGGGAGGAAAGGAAAAGATGAGGTCTCCAAGTGACACCTGATCCCAGAGGTACAGCCTCTCCCAGAGCAAAGGCTGGCTCCTGCCCACAGCCTGAGGGACAGGGCTACTGGCATCCAGTAGTTATGCCAAGCCACAGCACTTCCCGATTTACATTTTTAGCCAAGTAGCCAATTTGGAGGAAAAAGTTGGGTACAAGCACAAGCTGTTTCACCAGATTGGTCACATTTCCCATGGCAGACTAACATTCACTCTGAAGAAATAAAAAGCCTCGGCTTGTCATCTGAGCAGCCTGGTGGTGGCTCCTGACCTTGTGGAGGACAGGACAGTCCACTCAGAGCCATGAGCCCCCCCAAAGTACCTCATTCCAGGTTTCCACTTGCCCCTAGCCACCTTACAAACACAGCCAGTTCTCCAGTTCTGCACATCACACCAGCATGGCTCACTCACTAGCCTCCCCCTGCCCGAAGACAATTACACACTAGCCCAACCACAGCTAACCTGCTTTCAGGACCTGCTCCAGGCCTGAAGAAGCTGCATGAACACCTACCAAGCCCCAGTTTGATCATCCTATAGATGCGGTTGGAATGGGTCTGGGGATCTTCCAGGGAGAAACCAGAGGACAGCAGAGCAGTCTCGAAGAGTAGCACCACCAGGTCTTTGACAGCTTTGTCACTCTTGTCAGCATCAGCCTTCTGGCGGAGGGTTTCCACAATTGGGTGGTCAGGATTGATCTCCAGATGCTTCTTGGCCATCATATAGCCCATGGTAGAGTTATCTCGCAGTGCCTGAGCTTTCATGATGCGCTCCATGTTGGCTGTCCAACCGTAGGTGCTGGTGACAATGCAGCAGGGAGATGAGACCAACCGGTTTGAGATAGTTACCTGCCAATGTTAGCCAAGGGTTAGCTGAGCATGGTCCCCAAACGCACTGGACTGGGCCCAGCCACAGCACACAATACCCCAAGGTCCTTGCCCCAGGTTCACCTGGAGACATCCCAAAGCAAGCAGAGATCCTCCAAGCAGCTCCAGGACTGTTGCACAGACTAGTTTGGACAGCTCAGCCAAGCACCTTCAGCACCCACTGCATGTTTCCCACACTTACCCTCTCCCATCAATGCATGTGTTTGGGTCAGTGCCCCTCACCTGCAGCCTGGCTGCTTAAAGCAAGATGGTGCATGCTGGGACCTCCAGTCTCCTTTAGTGGCTCCTCTGCAGGAGATGAGGGAGACGAAAGGCACGCATTGAGCTGGGGCCCATGCCTGCATCATGGAGGGCCCAGCCCTCCTCCCTCCAGCCCAGAGCTGAGTTCCCTGCCCATCTCACCTTCTCCACCTTTTTGTCCAGGATCTCCTTCATAAGTTTGCAGAGGGTCTCGAACTTGGCCTTGCTCTCCTCCATCTTCTTTTTCTCCTCCTCATCCTCAGGCAGCTCCAGCCCCTCTTTGGTGACTGATACTAGGGTCTTGCCATCAAACTCCTTGAGCTGCTGCACACAGTACTCATCAATGGGTTCTGTCATGTACACCACCTCAAAGCCACGCTTCCGCACACGCTCCACAAAGGCTGAGTTGGCAACCTGCTCCTTACTCTCTCCTGTTTGTGCAGGATAGAAATGAGATGTCACTAAGACACAGGAGCTGGTTACCGCAGGACAAACAGCAACAGTCACTTGGAACCCCTAGCATAAAACTGGCTGCAACCAGGGCTCTAGGCCTGGTGGTCCTTCCCCAGTCCCCAGGGATGGGCTGTGATTCAGCAGGGAGGGCCTGCTGAAGGCAGCAGGACCTACACCTCCACCTCACTAGGAGAAGCTCTTGCTCACCTGTGATGTAGTAGATGCTCTTCTGGGTCTCCTTCATACGGGATACATACTCTGAAAGCGAAGTCATCTCATCGCCTGACTGGGACGTGTGGTAACACAGCAACTCCGAAAGGCGCTTTCGGTTGGTTGAGTCCTCATGGATGCCCAGCTGAGGGCACAAGAGATGTGTGAAGCCTCCAGGATGGGACTTCCATGTACATAGCCACCACTAAGGCACAGCCATCTCTACCCACCCTCTGATCATTTGACTGTTGGGCCTAGGGCAGCCTGAGGGGCCAGCTGCCCGCAGAGGCTCTCTGGGGCACTTGCAATATCTCCTCTACCTAACACCCAAGCAGAGAAGATATGGCAGAGAGACAAGATTTCTCTCAGGCAGATAGGTCATGGGCCCCTCCCTCCTCCAGGTGCAGGGCGCCCAGCTTACCTTCAGATTCTTGGAAAAGGCCTCATAAAATTTCTTGTAGTTCTCTTTGTCCTCTGCCAGCTCAGAGAAAAGCTCCAAGCATTTCTTCACAATGTTTTTGCGGATCACTTTAAGGATCTTGCTCTGCTGGAGCATCTCACGAGAGATGTTCAGAGGCAGGTCTTCTGAGTCCACAACACCCCGGATGAAGTCTGAGTAGCGGAAATGAAACCAGCAGTCAGGTTAAGAGCTCTGAGCTTCATCACAGGAGGAAAACTACTAAGATGCTGACTGCTGTGCACCCATACCAGCTAGTACCTCATCCAGCTGCTTTGTACTGGGAGCGGTACCACAGGTTGTGGGGGTTCCAGCTCTGCACTGGGAGGCTGAGGCAGGGGGGCTCTTACTTAGGTACTCAGGGATGAGGTCATCGCAGCTGTCCATAATGAAGACACGCCTCACATACAGCTTAATGTTATTCTTCTTCTTCTTGTTCTCAAAGAGGTCAAAAGGGGCACGGCGTGGGATGAAGAGCAGGGCCCTGAATTCCAGCTGCCCTTCCACAGAAAAGTGCTGTGGAGCCAGGAAGGAAAAACAGCTGCCAGGATGTTTCCCTTCTACCCCTTCCCCCAGAACCTGCTATGGGCAGACTGTACCATCCCTCAGCACTGGGGCTGGCAAGGGGGTACAGCAGGGTCTCTAAAATCCAAGCAGCCTACATTTCCCCCTTCTCAGCCCCACTGCCCCCTACATGCCAAGGGTCTCCAGCATCCAGCAGGCCTGGACAGAAGAGTCACGGTTCTCTGAGGCCCAGCACCCTCCCATCCTGCTCCTAGGCTGGTACGGCCAACCACTCCACCTACACAGCTGTCACAGTGCAGGCTGAGGCACCACCCAGGGCCCAGGAACCCTCAGTCCCACTGAGGCCCAACTACCTGGTGGCTCTGGGTATGGACTGGAAAAGGGCCCTCTGCCTCTCCCTGGAAGCCAGGGTGGCCCAGCACCCACCTTGACAGCCAGGTGGTCCTCCCAGTCATTGGTGAGGCTTTTGTAGAACTCTCCATACTCCTCCTGGGTGATGTCATCAGGGTTACGGGTCCAAATAGGCTTAGTCTTGTTCAGCTCCTCCTGGTCAATATATTTCTCCTTGATTTTCTTGGTCTTTTTCTTCTTACCTTTGTCTCCCTCTTCCTCATCATCATCAGAGCCCACATCCTCAATTTTGGGTTTTTCCTCATCTTTGGACACTGACTCTTCCTCTTCCTTCTCACATTTCTCCTCCTCTGCTTCATCATCGCTAATCTCTTTTTCACGCTCCTTCTCCAGCTGTGGAGAAAGGGACAAGGAAGAGTCAGGTTTAGCCCCAGGCAACTGTTACCAAGAATCCTTTTCATCCAGATAAGAAACGGGTGTCCTCCAAGGCCAAACAAATGCAACATCTGGAACCAGGGCTTCTCCTCAAACCAGCCCTCAGAGTCCCTCAATGGCTCATGCAACCAAAAGCTGTCTAAGATGAGACAAGGGGCAGGAAACCCTCCTCCTCCATGGCTGGTTTAGATGACCTCCAGTTGCACAGATCAAAGGCCAAAAGCATAGATAGATACCCACCACCTTCACCTCCGATAATCCCCCAGCCTCAAATCTCCTCTAGCCACAGAAGCTGGGAGCACCACTGCTCAATACCCAGCAGCCAGGAGCTATGGAAGGGAACAGAAGAGACTGTACTCTGCCCTTTTCTGGGCTCCTGCTCCCAACACCACCCATCCCTGCCTCCAGCTTTCCAGTGGGTCCCCACAGTCCTTCCCTTACGTACATAGAGTGTGATAGGGTAGCCAATGAACTGGGAGTGCTTCTTCACCACCTCTTTGATGCGCCGCTCCTCCAAGTACTCTGTCTGGTCCTCCTTCAAATACAGGATCACTTTGGTGCCCCGTCCAATGGGCTCACCTATGGTGTGGGAAGAGAAACATTAGCATTTCAGGGCATAGTGTTGAAGGGCAGAAAACAAGTGGCACCAGCTCCTTGAGCCTAAACACTAGTCGATACCTAACATTAACAAGTGTGACTGACAACACAGTGCAGCTCTAGGGAGCAGCAGGAAAAGGGGTGCTTCCAGCAGAGAAATATGCTAGTTTTCTTGTACAATACATACCATGGTCAGTTCGGACAGTGAACGAGCCACCAGCTGATGACTCCCAAGCATACTGCTCATCATCGTTGTGTTTTGTAACAACAACCACCTTCTCAGCCACTAGATAGGCAGAATAGAAACCCACACCAAACTGCCCGATCATGGAGATGTCTGCGCCAGCCTGTGAAAACAGAGAAAGACTGACAGACCAGTAAAAAGACAGATATCTGCAACCAATTCACAGCAGCAAAGAACTGGGTCAGAGAAAAAGAGGCAAGTGCCAACAGGCAGCCAGCCCTACCCTCAGCTCCTCCCTGTGCCAGAAAGGTGGGGAAGCACACTCGGGTAGGCCAACAACTCCCACATCAAAAAAGGCAGCAGGCTTTCCTACGCCCCCGTGCAAGCCTATAGCCCAGGCCCTAGGGAACCCATGCAGCCAAAGGCAACCCACCTGCAGAGCTTCCATGAAAGCTTTGGTACCAGATTTGGCAATAGTGCCCAGGTTGTTGATGAGGTCTGCTTTTGTCATCCCAATACCAGTGTCCACCAGGGTGAGCGTGCGGTCCCGGGGGTTGGGGACTATGTCAATCTTGAGGTCCTTAGTGCTGTCTAGCTTTGAGGGGTCAGTCAGGCTCTCATAGCGGATCTTATCCAGCGCCTAGGGGAAGAGGGTGATACTTGCCATGGCCTCCCTCATCAACACCGGTCTCCCTCCCCAAGAACGAGCCTCGCAAGCGCCCCAGCACCGGCCTCTCCCTGGGCACCTCCGGCGGGACCCCAAGCCCCCCGGCAGAGGAAGGGCTCCCCCCGCCCCCCGGCAGGGGCGAGCAGGGCCCGGGCTCACGTCGGAGGCGTTGGAGATGAGCTCCCGTAGGAAGATCTCCTTGTTGGAGTAGAATGTGTTGATGATGAGTGACATGAGCTGGGCGATCTCCGCCTGGAAGGCGAAGGTCTCCGCATCCTCCTCCTCGTGCCGCACTTCTTCAGGCATCTGCAAGGCAAGCACAGGCCGTCAGCACCGGGGCGCGGGCGGCGCGGGCACCCAGCCCGGCCCAACGCAACACCCT